TTCCTCCCGCTTTGTCTCTCTCTCTTTCTCTCTCTCTCTCTCTCTCTCTCTCTCTCTCTCTTCGATTGTTTTATGTATCTCTTTATTTTGTTGTTACCTAACAGCGTTTGCTGATAGGTTTCTAGTGGACTCAAAAGAGAGCATCTGATGACTCCACAGGGGGGTCTGGGCGGGTGCCGGGGAAAAGAATCGGGAACAGAGCCGGGCTCGTTTTAAGCCAACAGTCACACACTTCGTGCTCTTCGACCTCCCGGAACTCCATTCCCGTGCCACATTTTGAATAACCGGAGCCAACTGTAGGCCACTTCGTGCTCTTCGACTTCCCAGAACTCCATTCCCGGGCCACATTTTGGATGCCCGGAGCCAACTGTAGGCCACTTCGTGTTCTTCGACTTCCCAGAACTCCATTCCCGGGCCACATTTTGGATGCCCGGAGCCAACTGTAGGCCACTTCGTGTTTTTCGAGTTCCCAGAACTCCATTCCCGGGCCACATTTTGAATGCCCGGAGCCAACTGTAGGCCACTTCGTGGTCTTCGAGTTCCCAGAACTCCATTCCTGGGCATGATTTTGAATGCCCGGAGCCAACTGTAGGCCACTTCGTGTTCTTCGAGTTCCCAGAATTCCATTCCCGGGCCACATTTTGAATGCTGAGGCAGGCTGAGGCTGAGGCTGAGGCAGGCTGAGGCTGAGGCAGGCTGAGGCTGAGGCCGAGGCTGAAGGCAGACTGAGGCTGAGGCTGAAGCAGGCTGAGGCTGAGGCTGAGGCAGGCTGAGGCTGAGGCTGAGGCAGGCTGATGCTGAGGCAGGCTGAGGCTGAGGCTGAGGCTGATGCAGGCTGAGGCTGAGGCAGGCTGAGGCTGAGGCCGAGGCTGAAGGCAGACTGAGGCTGAGGCTGCAGGCTGAGGCTGAGGCTGAGGCAGGCTGAGGCTGAGGCAGGCTGAGGCTGAGGCTGAGGCAGGCTGAGGCTGAGGCTGCAGGCTGAGGCTGAGGCTGCAGGCTGAGGCTGAGGCAGGCTGAGGCTGAGGCTGAGGCTGAGGCTGAGGCTGAGGCAGGCTGATGCTGAGGCAGGCTGAGGCTGGCTGAGATGCAGGCTGAGGCTGAGCAGGCTGAGGCTGAGGCCGAGGCTGAAGGCAGACTGAGGCTGAGGCTGAAGCAGGCTGAGGAGGCTGAGGCTGAGGCAGGCTGAGGCTGAGGCTGAGGCAGGCTGATGCTGAGGCAGGCTGAGGCTGAGGCTGATGCAGGCTGAGGCTGAGGCAGGCTGAGGCTGAGGCCGAGGCTGAAGGCAGACTGAGGCTGAGGCTGAAGCAGGCTGAGGCTGAGGCTGAGGCAGGCTGAGGCTGAGGCAGGCTGAGGCTGAGGCTGAGGCAGGCTGAGGCTGAGGCTGTGACTGCGACTGCCGTTGCCACTGCGACTGTCATCGCGAATGCGATTACGACTGCGAGAACAGCAGAATTCTACAACTGGATTCTCATCCGAATCTTAAGGGTAATGCTTCCAGATATGCTCCTACACATCGCTGTTAGGTTGCTTTGCCGGGATATTTTTTGTTTTTTTTGTTTCTCTCTCTCTCTCTCTCTTCTCTCTCTCTCTCTCTCTCTCTCTCTCTCTTTGTGTATACATATTTAAGTGTGCGCATGTCTCTCTTTGTCTCTCGTTATCTCTTTTTTTGTTTGTGTGTATTTGACACTGTATTCCTACATATCTCTACCACTCCCTCTCTCTATATATATATATATGTTGAGGACTGTCTTGGCGCTTCGCGCCATGGACTTTGGTCATTGAGGCTTGGCATGGAGGCAGGAGGGCAATATGGTAAAACTTGACATTTAGCGACCATTGTGTTTTGTTTGGCATCCTCGTTGTAATATTGTTATTAGTTCTCCATCCCTCATGTTTACTCTTCCTCTTCCTCCCTCTCGCCCTACCCTGCGAATTCGCCCTCATCCTGAGCTCTTTTTGCGGAGGCTCATCCTGGGCGAGCCGTAAGTCCCATCAAGGTTTTTAAGGGCTTTGGGGGGCCTTCTGGAAGTCTCCTGGGTTCCTTCTAGGGGCCTCTGGGGCTTCCCCGGGCCACCCTGCTTCCAACGGCGATTTCCCTGAACGACCGGGTCACGATTTGGAATGATTCGGGATGCGTCTTGGGGCCATCTTGGGCCGTCATGGGGCTCTCTTCAGGTCATCTTGATGCCCTGTTGGGCCGTCTTGGGGCTCCTCCTGGTCTGCCCGGAGGCCCTCTTGGTTCAATTTTGGGCGATTCTCTGGCCTCGTGGGCGGTCTCGGACGCCCGGAGGACCGAAGAACTACGCATTCCCAAAACCGCACACAACCACTGAAAATCAATGTGCTTTGCATTTCGAGTGCCCCTTGGGGGTCTTCTTTGGGTCGTCTTCGGGCGTCTCGTGGGTGTCTGGGGCCTCTGTGGGCTCTCGCGGGGCCGTCTGGGCACCCTCCTGACCGAGTTGGGCCCGTAGCCTAGGCCCAGCAAGGGCTTCAGGAGCCCCGGAAAGCATAGGGGCCCGTCTGCAGGGCGTCCAGGGTACCCCCGGCGCCAAGGATCCCTGGATGGGGTTCCGTTTAGGGGGGGGAGGTCGCAGGGTCCAAGATTCTAGAAAGACCAGTTAGTATGATATAGTATTATGTAATTTCGAGTGCAATGTTCTAATATAGTGTCAGATCGTCTGGAATAAGACAAGACATATAACTATACTCTACCATGCAATGTAGCACTATATGTTTTCTAATGGGTTCAATAGAGTGCCGCATAGCATCATATAAGCATAGGTCTAACTATCATATGATGTCATGTTGATAGAATATGTCAAATACTATAATAGGGAGTGAGATAATAAAAACTAGACGACAAAGTGTATACATGCTAACATGTATATATATTATATATATGTATGAGTACGTGCTTTATGTCTCTCTCTCTCTCTTTCTTCCTATCTCTCTCTCTCTCGTCCTTCTCTCCCTATCTCTCTCTCCCTCTCTCTCTCTCTCTCTCTCTTCCGACCTTTCTTTGCCCCAAGCAGTGCTCATTTGCTTATGCTCGTCTTTGTCTTGCGGCCTGGAGCAGCTGGCTGGCGCTTCTGGGCCTCCGCCAGGTCCCCGCCCGCTGGCGCCTCGTGGGCGCCCCGTGCCGGCCGGCATTCTCGGCGGGTTGCCCCCCCTGTCCGACCTCGGGCCCCTCGTGGGCCTCTCTGTGCGCCTCTGTGCGCCTGAGTGGCTCCTTCCGCGCTTGCGCCTGGCGTCCACCATTTGGGCGTCGCGTGCACTAGAAAGCGTTCCCCGATGCGCGCGCAGCCTTGCGCATCGAGTGCACCACGCATATGCTGCACCCCGCCGCGTGTGGCACGACACGGATGTCACCGCGCGTGGACGGCATCCTGCGTATTGCACCGCGTAGGGTTCACCGTAGGTTGCACCACACCGATCGCACCACGTAGTCACACGCCACGCGCCGCAACGCGTACACGTAGAAGTTGCACCACATAGCTTGCTCTGTGTTGCACCTTTCGTGTGCTTGCTTCTTTCTCCCAGTGTGATTCTGATAATTTCCTTTCCCAGGCCAGACTTAACGGTTTACTTCCTCGCACTGGTTTGAATGTTGCACGACCGACCCCCGACACTCGAAACCAGTTCTCACCCCAGCCAGGTCGGTATCCATTCCCCGCTGGCGCCCCCGTCAAAGTGTACTGCGAGGGCACACGCGTTGGTCTGGCAAGTGCGGTTTGGAAGACTTGTTGCCAAACCATGCAGTCGGGGCTCTGACTAAGAAGCCCTTCTCGTTGGGGAGGGGCTCCGTGTTCCTTCATTGTTTCACATTTTGCCCCAGGTTATCCTTGCATTTTCGATGGGAAGTCGAAGTTGATCTTCTGGAAAAAGGGGCCTCGTTCCTTATTTATTGCGAAGGCCTTACGGCCGGTGCCGCCGACCCTGGAGGACGTGCAGTACTTGCGGGGGGGGCGTCGTATCTGAGTGGCGCCCCCCCCCCGGGACCCCCCCCGGGGACCCCCCCGCTACCCCCCCCCCCTCCCGGCGGGGGAGGGATCAAAGGGAAGGGGCTTCCCTTCGACTCAAATACGACGTTGCTGAAGTTCATTTGGGCTGGCGCGCTTGAGCAGGGGCCCCTGCTGGGAAAGAGGACGGGAGTGGCGACGGGCCCACGGAAAGGGAGGCGCAAGGAAGGGGGACGACAGAGACGACGACCAACGAACAACGGGGATGACGTCTCGAACGGAAAAGCCCCTCACACACGCCGACAGGGTCGGCGGATTTAGGGTTCCTTAGGTCAACGCCCCGACTGTACACCGAGAGCCACGCGCGCACGCCCGTGCGGGGCTCGGCAGGATCCTGCGAGGGCAGAGGCGGACTTCAGCAGCCACAGGGGGCAGTTTTCCTTGGCCACCGCTGTCCGAGCATCTCGCCTGGGCCACACCCGCGCGCCCTCGAGCAGTGAAGTTATTCGAGACCTCCTGGTACCGTCGTCGCCCGCCCGAACCATCGATCTCCACGAGGAGTGCCCGCGCGTCGCTGCGCCTGATGGGATGTGCAGGCAACTGCTCATAGATGGCTGCCTCATGGCCTCCTGGATCGTGCCACCAAGTTGCGGTTGAGCGAGTGAGTAGATTTGGGCATTCGAGTTGACGATCTCGAGTTCGTCAAAGTAATTGCGTTGCGTTGACTGCACCCCACAGCCTGCACGGCATATATTGCCCCGCACAGTTTGTGCCACATAGTAGCTTGCACAACATAGTTTGCATCACACAGATTGCACCAAATGAAGTGCACCTCGGGAGAGCCCCAGTCTATTGCTTCTTCCAGGTCCACGCAAGCAAACAGCTCTCCCATACTGTTCCACAGCCAGTGGCGCTCTCAAGCATCAGCATTTGGCACGCAAGCGTTCACGGGCCGTTGCCATATCTCAGCAGCATGCCGCAGCGAGATTTACGTGTGCGCAGTTGCTTTCGCGACAGAGTTGATGTAAGTGGTGCGGGGCTAGGCCTGGTGTTGTCAACAAGACGATGTCAATTGTGATGAAGTTCAAGCCAAATTGGCCAGTCAAGCTGCAGAACCTCACCAGCAGCAGGCCCACTGGTGGGTCTGATGTGTATGTCGTGTTCCCTGCAGTCCAGCACGCGCGTCATGGATACACATGCGATAGCTGGTTGCACTTCCCAGCCCTGTGCCCATCCCCTGTGTGCAGCTACAGTACTCGCGGGATTGACTCGTGTCCAGTTCGTGTACTACAGTTGAGCGCTACCATCTCAGTTGTTTCCCTCCCGCCGCAAGTCCCCCCGCAGAGCATCTATGACTCTATGCCCGGTGATCTCTACCGTCTCTCGGCGAATCGCTTGTGAGCGTTGTATACGCGTGCTCCACACTTGGACTGCTACCCTTATTGTCATTGCACAGGGTAATGTGACGCCCATGTCCCAAAAAGTGGACAGGGCATTCGCATCAGCAAGTATCGAAGACGCCCACGGCGAACCTCCGCCGCCCCCTGCCTGTTTGGAAGCGCCTGCGTGGCCGAAAGTTGGCTTTTGAGTTTGGCCAAGCCATCGGGCCACGCGTTCCCCGAGTGGGTGTCGAAAGCCTTCGGGGAACACCGAATCGGGCGAACTATCGAACCAGGTGGTTTCCGAGCTTTCGGGCTTTTTGGAGGACGTCTTGGAGGGGTGCAGTCTAAGGCCATCTTCATGCCATCTGGGGCCGTCGTGGGTGCATCTTGGGGCCATGTTCGCCGTCTTGGAGGCCTTCTTGGCCGTCTTGGAGGCATCTTGGAGGCCATGATGGCCGTCGAGGTGCTGGGATGTGTAAAAGATGCCTTATACATGAGTTTGACTTCTTCGGACGCTCCTGGAGGACCCCTTGGACACCTCTTGGGCCGTCTTAGGGGCTTCGTGGTCGCCTCTTGGGCCTTCTTTGGCCGCCTTGGAGGCTTCTGAGACGGACTTGGAGGCATATTCGGCCCTCTCGGGCCGTCTTGGAGGCTATCTTGGACCAGCGTAGGCGAAATTGAGGGCCATCGTGACCCTCCTGCCCCAATTGTTCCCCGAGTCGGTTTGGAAAGCTGTCGGGGAACACGTAGGGGAGGACGGGACAGAGGAGCAGAGTCAGGGAAAAGGAGAAGGGAAGAAGAGGCCTCTTGGGAACCTCTTGAAGCACTCTCGGGCTCTATTGGGCCAGCTTGGCGGTCTTGGCCGAGAGTTGGGCTGGAGTTTGGCCAGGCTGTCGGACCATGAGTTGCCGGAGTCGATTTAGAAGGTTTTGAGGACACGCCTGTGTGGCCGAGAGTTGGGCTAGAGCTTGACCAAGATGTCGGACCATAAGTTGCCCGAGTCGGTTTGGAAAGGTTGCAGGGAAGACGTGAGGGAGGAAGAGGAAGAGGAGGAGAAGAAGGAACGAGGATAATGGGGAGGATGCCTCTTCGGAGCCTCTTGAGGCACTCTTGGGCTCGATTGGACCATCTTGGGACCGTCTTGGAGGCCATGTTGGAGCTATCTTGGGCTCTCTTGGGCCTGTTGAGGGCCTCTTGTCTTGGGACCCTTTTGGGGCTTCTCGGGGGCTCCTGTGGCCGTCTCATGGCGTTCCTGGCCAGTCTGACGCCGTCGGGAGCCGTCTTGGGGGCCTAACTGAACCGACTTGGGGACCTCTTGGGGCGCTTCGGGTCCGTCTTGGAGGCCATCTTGGGCGTCTTGGAGGCCTCTTGGACCCTCTTGGGGCCTTCTTGGGGGCTTCTTGGGCCGTCATGGGGCCGTCTTGGAGGCCTCGTGAGCAATTTTGTGGAGATCATGGGGGCCTCTTTGGCCGTCTTGAAGTCTTCGGAAGGCCGAAAAGAAGCAAATGTCAAAATCCTTCAAAAACCGAAGGAACGCTAATGATTTTGGCCTCTTCGGGCTCTCCTTGAGGACTTCTTGGAGGCGTATTGGAGGGCTCTTGGGGGCCTCTTGGGTCGTCTTGAACCATCTTGAGGCTATCTTGGGCCGTCTTGGAGGCATCTTGGGGCCATCTGAGCCGTCTTGGAGGTCATATTGGCCGTCTTGGAGGCGTCTTGGTGGCCATCTTGGGCCGACTTGAAGCCGTCTGGAGCAGGAAAAACCCTTGGCAACCATCTCTGGGCAATCTGGAAGATCTTTCCGGGTGGCCGGCGGGACGGGACGAAGCCCCAGGGGGATCTCTTTTGGAAAAAGAACCAGAACCAAAACCGAAAGGCTCTAGCACTCCAGGCACCCGTGCGATGAATCGACAGGGGGCGGCGGATCGTAGACGCCTACCGCGAATCACCGCCGTCCCCTGCCTCTTTGAAAGGACATCCGTGGACGAAAGTTGGGCTAGAGCTGTCGAACCATGTGCTCCCGCAGCTGTCGTCGAAACTTTTCGGTGAACACGTGAGGAAAAAGGCGAATGAGGAGAAAGGGGGAAAGGGAGTAGGAGGAGGAGGAGGAGGAGGAGGAGGAGGAGGAGAAGGAGGAGGACGCCTCTTCGAAGCCTCTTGGGGCACTCTTGGGGTCTCCTGGGAGCCTCCTTGGGGCCTTTGGAGGCCTCTTCGGGGCTTCCGTGGGCCTCTTGGGAGCCTTGGGGGACTTGTTTGGGGCCGCCTGGGCCGTCTTGGATGTATCGCTGAACCAGCTTGGGGCCCTCCTTGCGCGCTTCAGGGCCGTCTTGGAGGCCATCTTGGGGGCCTCTTCGAGGCCTCTTGGGCCGTCACGGGGTCATCTTGGAGGCCGTTAGGGCCATGTTGGGGCGATCTTAGGGGCGTCTTGGGCCGTCGGAAGGCCGAAAAGAAGCAAGTGCCAACATTTTTCAAACACTTAAGGAAGACGAATGCGTTTGGCCTCTTCGGGCCCTCTTGGAGTACCTCTTGGAGTCCTTTTTGGCCATTTGAGAGACCTCTGGGAGGCCTCGGGCTGTCTTGGTCCGTATTGAAAGCTTCTTGTGCGAACTTGGAGCAATCTTGGATTCGCTGGGGCCGTCTCGTAGTCCATCTTAGACCATCTTCGGCGAACTTGAGGGCCATCTTGGCCGTCTTTTGGACCATCTTGGAGCCATCTGGAGTAGGACACACCTTCGCGACCGTGTCGAACGCAGCCTTGTGGCTGGCGGCATCGTCCGAAGCCCCAGGGAGGGTTCTTTTGGCAAAGGACCAAAACCAAGCCGTAAGACGTTCAGCACGAAAGGCACCCCTGTGGCTGGGGGCCTCGTGGGGCCTCTATCTCGTGATGGCCTCTTGGGGCTTCCTAGGGGCCTCTTGGGGCGGAAGGCTCTCTTGGGGCCGTCTTGGGGCTTCTTGGGCGATCTTGGGCGCCTCTTGGGCTCCCTTTGGGGTCCTCTTGGACCCTCTTGGGGCCCTCTTGGGGGCCTCTTCTTGGGCCGTCTTGGGGCGGTCGTTGAGGCCTCTGGCGCCGTCCTGGAGCGTCGGAGCCTGCAAGCGCGAGAACGCGAACAAAAACACAGACCAGCACAAGGAGCATCGATCATGTTTTTGCCTCTTCGGGCCCTCTTGGGGGTCCTCTTGGAGCACTCTTGGGGCTGCTTCGGGGCCTCCTGAGTTGTCTTTGGGCCGTCTTGGGCGTCCTGGAGCGTTCTTGAATTGTCTTGGAGGCCTCTTGGACGCTGCTTGGGGCCCTCTTGGCCGTCGTGGGCCCTTGGGCCCCTGGAAAAGTCATGCGGGGATGCCCGGCGCGAGAGCGCCCGGGAAATTCGGAAATCTGGGGCCCCAGCCCTTAGAATACTATAACCCTCCAGTCCTGGGTACAGAGCACAGAGCACACATGAGAGCCTGGGGGTAACTCCGGTTCGTGCCTGGAGGCACGGTGGCGGGTCTGTACAGTCGGAAGGAGGAGTATCCGCTAGCGCGAATAGGATATCTGGATTGCGCATGTTTGCTTGATCGGCGCGTGTGGATATCGCTGCGTTCATCTTTGGGTCCCTGGTCTGGGATACACAGATTGGCAGTAAGGATATTGGTGCTGATAGCCGGTTTTGGTGCTGCATCCCCTGAGCCGAAGCATCCTCATTTCTACTGCAGCAGATCACGAGAGCCTCGTGTGCCCTCGTAATTCTGTCTTTAGCGTCGACTAGCGTCGACTACCGTCTGGGAGTCGATGAGATAGCGCCGATTTAGCGTCGGCTAGCGTAGATTAGCGTCGATGTAGCGTCGATCAGCGTCGACCGGCGTCAATTAGCGTCGATTCGCAAGAGCCGACAAGATGATATGGGAGGCTCCCATGAGTTGCCACCGAACATTCCTAAGGCACACCCGATGGGGGTCATGAGAAAATGTTGAATTTGTTCGGCGATTAAGTGCCAGCGTCTACCGTTATTTTCTGACTGGTCTGGCTGCTTGTGACGCTCTTGTCACCTTTCTTATGTTGGTCACGTAGGGTTAGGCGGCGGACGTGGTCATCCCCTTACTGGGCCGGGAAAAGCGAGAGTGAGTGGTAAGCCAGGTGCGTTCGTGCCATATTTGACATCCTACCCATCCCACCCATCCCTTGACGTTGCGCAGATTTTTTCTCTATCCGAGGTCTCGTGTCATAGCGGCCCCGGAACTCCCCGAAAGTCCCCATTGTGTGATGCGCAGTCGGAGAGAGGGAGTTGAGCAGGAGGAGGAGGAGGATGGGGAGGAGGATGAGGAAGGAGGAGGAGGAGGACGACGAGGAAGAGAAGGAGGAGGAGGCCGACGATGACGAGGAGGAGGAGGAGGAGGAGGAGAAGGAGGAGAGGATGAGGACGAGGAGGAGGAGGAGGAGGAGGAGGAGGAGGAGGAGAAGGAGCTGAGCGGGAGGAGGAGGAACACGAGGAAGGAGGAGGGCGAGGACGAAGACGAGCAGCAGCAGCAGCAGCAGCAGCAGCAGCAGCAGCAGCAGCAGCAGCGGGAACTGGAGCGGAAGGAGCTGGAGGAGTAGGGGGACCAGGGGAAGGCGAGGAGGGAAGAGGAGGAGTAGCAGGAGTAGGCGGAGGAGGAGGAGGAGCAGGACGGGGAGGAGGAGAAGGAGGGAGGAGGAGAAGGAGGAGAAGGAGGAGAAGGAGGAGAAGGAGGAGGGAGAAGAGAGAGGAGGGAGGAGGGAGGAGGAAGGAAGGGGGAGGAGGAGCAGCAGGAGGAGGAGGAGAAGGAGGAGGAGGAGGAGGAGGAGGAGGAGGAGGAGGAGGAGGAGTACGAGCAGCGCGAACATGAAGCGACGAGCTGAGTCAGGATGGAAGGCGGACGAGGGGTCGACAACGATGAGGGCGTACTCGGATCCAGCAAAGTTGCCCGCGCTGCGGCGAGGGCGCCATTGCGATCGACGGGGGCACAGCGCCGATCCCGCAATGAGGCCTGCGCTGGAGCGGGAGCAGCACTTAGAAACACCGAATCAATAGGAAAATCGCCTTTGCCCGATCCTATGTGTAAAAACAATGCGGAGAGGGCGGAGCATCTTCTGGACAGAGTTCGGGGAGGCAGGATAGTAGTACTCATGTTGGGTAACTGTGGAGGGAGAAGGAACGATCTGTAGCCTGAGTCGAATGCGGCCACTCATAATGCGCCACACCTGCCACATCTAGAGAAGGACTAGGACCATGCCAGTTGAGTGGTTGGGCAGGATAATCCGTACGATTGCTATGAGGACATTTGGTCGTTCGACAAGTGGCATTGGTGCTGCGTGCACTCTGATCGTTGCCTCGACAGAGCTCAGGACGCCGCTCAGTTGCAGTCACATTGCGCATACGATGTAGAAGGTTCGACGTGTGTACATGATGTGTGGTGTTCCCGTGTTCCTCAGCAGCGCGCGCAAATGGACGCCCTGTCACAAAAATCAGATGGGCCAGTGCTCCTTGTGTCCCTTCCGATGGTGGTCCGTGGTTTCGTGAATAGGGGATTTCGGGTGCATTTCGGTCAGCCCGATTCGATTCGATTCCAATCTTTCGACGATGCGATGCGGCCCGATGTTTCCACGACATAATCATACAGCCCGGCGCGGCCGACCCGATTCGATTTCGATTCCGTGCCGATCCAGCCCCAGATCCGACGCGTTGTTCGATTCGATTCACTTCCCCGATTCGATGCTAGCTGATCCTGCCCGTGGGTTCTTGAAAGTCCGCGGGTGGGTCGCGGCCCGTGGTCCCGATGTCTGCGCGCTGCTGGTCGTGGCATCGCTCGGACGTGTGCATCTTTCTCTTCGGCGAGGGCCATCGGGAGGAGGGGGAGGAGGAGGAGGAGGAGGAGGAGGAGGAAGGAGGAGGAGGAGGAGGAGGAGAGGAGGGGGAGGGGGAGGAGGAGGAGGAGGAGGAGGAGAGGGAGGAGGAGGAGGAGGAGGAGGAGGTGGCGAAAAAACCACGCACGCAACCGACAAAAAAAAAGCACAGGACATGGACGTCCGAGCGATGGCGAGTGGTGGCCCGGGGGTGGGTCGGTGGCCGCCCGGCCGGTGGACTCCGCGGTCCGAGGTTCCGTGCTGCTCGCTGGTGGTCTTCGCGGCCCCACACATTGGAGACCCATGCCAAGAAACACCCTCCTCCTTCTCCTCCTCCTCCTCCCTCCTCCTCCTCCTCCTCCTCCTCCTCCTCCTCCTCCTCCTCCTCCCTCCTCCTCCTCCTCCCTCCTCCTCCCTCCTCCTCCTCCTCCTCCTCCTCCTCCTCCTCCCCCCTGCTGCTTGCCTCCAGGGTGTCCTGGGTTTATTTTTGCTTGTCGATGGTTCTGCTCTGCAGAGCGTGACGCCCCCACCCACACCGGAAATCAGTGGACGTGCTGGGCTCTCAGGGTTGGGTTTCTCGTGGAAGGCTTCTGGCGGTCGGGGCCCCAACTGCAGCTCGCGAGGCCCGCGGGTGTGGTCCGCGGCCCCATCTCCAAGGCCCCCGGCTGGGCGACGCCGTGGCCCCTGGCATCGCTCGGACGTGTGCATTTTTTCTTCGGCGAGGACCTTTGAGGAGCATCCTTGATCATTTGGCGAAAAGACCACGCACGAAACCGAAAAAAGCACGGAGTGGACGTCCGAGCGATGGCCAAGCCAGCTCGTGGCCTCGGGCCCCGCGGGCCGTGGCCCGTCGGCCCGTGGGCCTCCAGCGCGGCCCGTGGCTCGAGCGCGGCGTGGCCCATGGGCCGGTGCGTGTTCGAGGCCTGGCTCGCCCCCGGCTCCTGTCCAAGGCGTACCTTTTCCTGTGCAAGCTCTTCGGCACCGCCTGTTCTCCGCACCCTCCGGCCGCCTGAGGCCCCGCCCGCCCGCGCCCTGTCTCCCCAATTTGTGCTTCGCGCGCCTCGCCTAGCTCTTAACCGGAAGAGGCCCGCTCTCGACCCGCCGACCAAAAAAGTGTTCGAGGCCGGGCCGCGGCCCGCGGTGTCGGCGGCCTGTAGGGCTCTCGTGGCCGGCTGCCTGTGGCGTGCTGGCCTCTGTGGCGGGTGGTCGCGTGGACGCGCAAGCCGTGGCCGTGTCGTTCAGAGGGGGAAAAGGTACCCATACCCCATACCTCTACCCTTTCCTCGTTTTCCCGTTTTTGGGGGCATGCTCGGAGGCCCTCGTCGCCACCGCTGGATTCGCCTCGAAGTCCTGGTCAGAACGCGCCCCGGGGGAGGTCCAGGAAGCAGCGGTATCGATGATGGGCGTGTTTTCCACCACCACCACCATAAGTAAGTTGGAGGGGGGAGGTGGAGTATGAGGAGGAGGAAGAGGAGGAGGAGAAGGAGGAGGACCCCCTCCCCCTCCTACTTCTGGTGGTGGCGGTGGAAAACAAGCCCACCAATCGGTGCCTTTTGGTTTCACCCGTCTGGGTATATCCGTGGCCCGTGCCCCGAGTGCTCGTTGCTCGCTGTGCCGCCCGCGGTTCTGTCGCCTGTGGTCTGCGGCCCGCCGTCCGCGGCCCGATTCAGGGCGCATCCATTTGGCCACAGGTCGTTTCGTGGGCGTTCGCCAGGCTGCAGGCTCTGATTTCGATGTTCTCTTCGCGCCTTCCTCTGTTCCCTCCTCTGTTTCATCTCCTCGTGGTTAGCGCCCAGGGCGCGATAGGTTTCAGTGATCGTATTGCCGCTTTGTCAGTCACGCTGTCGCCACTGAGTAGCTCAGGTTCTGGAGACCGTGGGTGGTTTGAGTCGTGAGGTCCGTAGTTCCGTGACCCGTGGTTCCGTTGCCAAACGTCAGTGGCCCATGGTGGTCCATGGTTTGGGTTTCCATAGCCTTCGGTTCGTGGCTTCGTAATTCTTAGGTGCCGTGAATGTGTGCATGTCTCTCAGCGGGCGCATTCAGATCATTGGTCCATGATTCCATGCATGTTGTGTTTTTGCTGACTTTGTGCGTTGACGCACGCTCAGTGTAGGCCTTGACCTTGCAGCGGACTATTCAGCGCGCGGATTGGGCGGCGTGCTGTCTTTGTCTGCACACATCCAGCGCTTTGCCAGAGCATGGAGGGTTATTGGAAGTCGTCGGGGGGAAGGGGTCGATGCAAGGGAGCGCCCCGCCAGGCGGCAGCGGCAGGTTTGGCGGTTACGATCGGGGACATGGTTGGTGACGCCCATGATGCAGTCTCACATCACGTCGATCAGGCTCTTGACACTTCCATCGGAGACCATGTTTCCAACGCCGCTGACACCGTCGAGGATGTCGCAGGTGACGTCCACGATGCGGTCTCACACCACGTCGGCCAGGCGCTGAACACTCCCATAGGAGACCACGTTTCCAACGCCGCTGACGCCGTGGGGGATGCGGCTGGAGATATCCACGATGCAATCTCACACCACGTCGGCCAGGCCCTGGACACTCCCATCGGAGACCACGCTTCTAATGCCGCAGATGCTGTGGGGGATATTGCAGGAGATATACATGGCGCAGTCACGCACCATGTTGGCCAGGCTCTTGACACGCCCATCGGAGACCACGTTTCCAACGTTGCTGACGCTGTGGGGGATTTGGCAGGAGATGTCCATGGTGCAGTCTCACACCACGTTGGCCAGGCTCTGGACACTCCCATTGGGGACCACTTATCTAATGCCGCTGACGCTGTTGGGGATGTTGCTGGAGACGTCCACGATGCAGTTTCACATCACGTCGGCCAGGCGCTGGACACTCCCATTGGCGACCATGTTTCGAATGCCGCTGACACCGTTGGGGATGTTGCGGGAGACGTCCACGACGCAATTGCACATCACGTCGGCAAGGCGCTGGACACTCCCATTGGCGACCATGTTTCGAACGCTGCGGATGTCGTCGGGGATGTCGCAGGAGACGTCCACGATGCAGTCTCACACCACGTCGGCCAGGCGCTGAATACGGATATCGGAGATCATGTTTCCAACGCCGCTAACGCAGTGGGGGATGTCGCAGGAGACATCCACGGCGCAGTCTCACACCACGTCGGCCAGGCGCTGAACACGGACATCGGAGACCATGTTTCGAACGCCGCCGACGCCGTCGGGGATATGGCAGGAGATGTCCATGGTGCAGTCACGCACCATGTCGGCAATGCATTGAACACGGACATCGGAGACCATCTTTCCAACGCCGTTGACGCCGCAGGGGACTTCGCAGGAGACGCCCACGATGCAATCTCACATCACGTTGGCCAGGCGTTGAACACAGGCATCGGAGACCACGTATCCAACGCCGCTGACGCCGTGGGGGATGTCGCAGGAGACGTCCACGACACAGTCTCGCACCACGTTGGCCAGGCGCTCAACACGGACATCGGAGACCACGTCTCCAACGCCGCTGACGCCGTCGGGGATATGGCAGGAGATATACATGGTGCAGTCACGCACCACGTCGGCCAGGCGCTGAACACGGACGTGGGAGGCCACGTGAGCAATGCGGCGGGTGCCGTCGGGGACGCGTTAGGCGACGCCCATGCTGCAGCTTCGCACCACTTGGGGAACACAGCAGGCGCCAGAGCTTCTCTTCGTGCTTGCATGGTGTGTGTGTGTGTGTCTCTCGCTCGAGGAAGCTGCGGCACGGTCCGTGCCCGGGCCAGACTCTCTCCCGCTCCCGGCGCGCGTCGTGCCGACAGTTTCCGCGGGGCAGTGGTCAGCATTTGGCCTTCCTGGCATTGCTCGGACGTGTGCATTTTTTTCTCGGCGAGGACCCTGGAGGAACATCCTGGACCATCGGGCAAAAAAACACGCACGAACACGAAAAATGCTCAGGGAATGGACGTCCGAGCGATGGCAAGTGGCCTTGTTCAAGACGCTTGTGCCAGATGCCTGAAAGAATGATTTGGGCCGGAGGGTGCTTCAATGCATCCATGCTGGCTCGAGATCGCGGTCTCGCGCGTTCCGCGCTAAGTGGCTGAACACTGACACAGGCTGCGTGCTGTTCCGCTCCCTGGTCGTTCTACTCGGGCGTCTTTCGGTGTGGAGTGCGTATGGCCACTGGGGCCAAAGTCGTGACTCCTCCGTGCCTTGGCATACCCTGGTGGACCCTTCCAGTCGGCCTTGTGTCGTTCGTTCTCGTCGGGGTCTTGGGTGGTGGTCGTCGTCCGGGGGGTGGGGGCAGGCCGATCAGAGTCTAGACGGCGCAGTGTGTCGTAACGTAAGAGGCGCTGGTGATCGTCGCGAACCGGCTTCATTAGGGTAACATTGTACGCCCGCTAATCCTTTGGCCCGTAAGGCTAGCGTTTAAAGGTGGGGGGGAGCCCCAGGCTGACACGTGCTGGGGGCTCCCATTTCCCTTTCTTAGGCGTCAGCGTTTATACAGGGTGTCAGACACGGGTCTCCAGGTTTCCATGTCTGGGTTCAGGTATTGTGTTTATGGTATGAGAGAGTTCTCGCCAGGATCCCGGGTGCTGCGCGGGACCTGCAGTCATTAGGACTCAGATGATACGCAGGGGGCGAGGAGGAGGTGGAGGTGGCGGAGAGGGACCAGGAGTCGGAGAAGGGGGAGGGAGGAGAGAGAGAGAGGAGGGGGAGGAGGAGGAGCGCCGGGTGCTCCCCCTCCCCTTCCGCCGCGCAGGCTGGCTCGGCGGCCAGCTGGGCTGGGGCGGCCAGGAGGAGGCGGCGGCCGACGCAGGCTCCGCGGGCTCCCCCCCCCCCCGTGCTCCCGCCGAGGCACGGGGTCTCTCCGCGTGCACCGCCCTGGGGCGCCGCTCTCCCCCAGGGGTCCTCGGCGGGCGGCGGAGGCACGGCCGAGACGCCGACGGGCGATCGCAAACAGGGAGGAGGAGGAGGGAGGAGGAGGAGGAGGAGGGGAGGAGGGGGAGGAGGAGGAGGAGGGGGAGGAGGAGGGGGGGGAGGAGGAGGAGGACTCAGGAGCGAAAGAAGGACGTGCATGTACATGACTCCACGCTGGTTTCGAGAGCACGCATTGCACACATGTTCGTGTAACGCGGCCGGTCTCGCGGATCGAGGGGCCGTGTTCATGTCCATCGCTGGGCGCGTACGTCCTTTGTGGGCTCCCTAGAGGAGGAGGAGGAGGAGGAGGAGGAGGAGGAGGAGGAGGAGGAGGAGGAGGAGGAGGAGGACGAGGAGGAGGAGGAGGAGGAGGAGGAGGAGATGGGAAAGGCGGACCGAGGGAGCAGGAGGAGGACGCGCAGGAGCAGGAGGAGGGCGTGCCGAGCGCTGGCCGTCCGCCACGAGAGGTCGCGGGGAGCGAGCCTCTGGGCGCCCACCATCCTCAGGCGATCGCAACCGGCCAGTGTGTTAGGAATTCCAGTGGTGCATCTCTGTCGCCTCCGGGGGGGGAATCTGACCGGGCCCGTTTGGGGTGACGTGAACCCGGCCGGCGTTTTTTAGATTTGGCCTCTTTCGAGTTCGAGCCTTCATCCAATGGGTGCGGTGGAAAAAAACATCTCGGGCGATCGCAGATATGGATGACGGGGGGGGTGGATTAGCGGCGGGTCCCGTTTCCATGGGGAGTCGTGGATGTCCGCCGCCCAGCGAGGCGGCACCGGCCGCATCTTGGGGAGGGCACCTCTCCTCGATCCATGGATTTGGCTCGCGGTCGCCAAACCCATGGGTCGCTCATCCGTGCTTGCGCGCCCCCGATGAAGTAAGGACCGCTCGGGTCTCAGGAGGGGTGCGGCTTTTCGGGCCGTGCGGGCTGTTCCTCTGATCTGGGTCGGGGCGTTCCGCGACGTGGCGGCGCCCCGGGATCCCGAAAGGCAGCATTCGCGCCAAAGCTGGCGACTTATCCTTCTCTTCGGACCCCGCCAGTTGACACGGACACCGCATCATTATGATCTTCCTCATTGGCATGATCATCACCAAGAGCAGCAGCAGCAGATCATCATCATCATCATCATCATCATCATCATCATCATAATCATCATCATTATCATCATCACCATCACCATTACCATCATCATCATCATCATCATCATCATCATCATCATCATCATCATCATTATCATTATCATTATCATCATCATCATCATCATCATCATCCTGATCATTATCATCAGCATCATCAGCGGCATCAGCATCATCGTCAGCATCATCATCATCCTCATACTCATCCTCATCAACCTTGCCATCAGCATCAGCATCAGCATCAGCATCAGCATCATCATCATCATCATCATTATCATCATCATCAGCATCATCATCATTATCACCACCAGCATACGCAGTCGTCATCAACTTATCAGCATCATCATCATCAGCATCCTCATCATCAATGTTAGACTCATCCGCATGATCATCATCATTGGAGTGCGAGCTAGCGGGCAGGCAGGGTGGACATACACATAAGCGAGCAGGCCAGGAAGCCTGTGTTGGGGCACACGCGATCGCGCGAGCGGGTGAGTGCGGAGGCATGGGGGCAATGTGCGCCAGCTGGCACGCAATCAACCGTGCAATCAGCAAGGGCCGCCACGAGGGCGCGACGCTATTCGCGGTTCGCGATTCGCGAGTCCTCGTCCTCATCCTGATCTTCCTCAGCCTCCTCCTCTTCTATCCGAGGGCGGGGGGCGGCCGGCGGGCGCGGGGGGGGGCGGCACCAGAGCGCGAAGTGATTCGCGCTGCGCGCAGCGCGACGCGCGAACACAGCTGCTCTTGATACAAGTGAAGGAACAAATTGTCAAGCAAGCGAGGAATCATGCGAGTGGACACTCACGCAAGAAAGAACACGAGCAGGCAACCAGGCGTGCACGCGAGGAATTCAAAGTGCAAGCACGCAAGGACGCAGTACAGAACGCAGGCAAGCTAGCAATGCTGCAACCACGCGAGGACATGCATCGGATTCGGCTTTTGTCCCGAACGCATGCGCCAATGCTTCGCGCAACCCCATTGAGATCGCAGCCCGCGGGCAGCTGTTTGCCTTCAGGGTGCCCTGGGTTTCTTGGGTTTCGATGGTTTTGCGATGGAAAGCGCGACGTTCCCACACCAAACATCAATGGACGTCCTGGGGTCTTCGGGTTGGGGTTTCTTGTGGAAGGCTTCTTGTGGACTGGCCTCCATTGTATACTGTAATCGACCAGTTGGTTCTATGCTGGGGTTGTCTGGCAACTGGTGCTTCGTTTTCGCACACGCGCTTACGACGCGCGCTCCTGCTGGTCGCGGCGAGGCAGCCCCGTCGGTAACCTCGTCGAACCCATCTACAGGCCAAACGAACGACGGAAGAGAACGGGTTCGACTGCGCCGACATTCGCGCATAAGTTGCCCGCGCAAGGTCGCGCGTAAGCGCCCTCGTTTCTGATGTAGCGTGGTCCGCGCGGATTTCTCGGATCGGAGCTGGACCCCCCTCCCTGGCGCGGCGCGCAGAGCGCGCCAGGGGCGGCGCAGGAGGCGCCGCCACGGGGGTACAGCGCAGATCCAAGAGATCCGCGCGGACCTCCGAGACTGCATGTTTTTGGGTGCGTCATCTGCCTGTGCTTCTGGGTTCTCTTCGTCGCTCCAGTGGCGACGCCAGAGGAGGAGGAGGAGGAGATGAGGAGGAGGAGCAGGAGGAGGAGGGAGGAGGAGGAGGAGGAGGAGGAGAGGAGGAGGGAGGAGAGGGGGAGGAGGAGGGGAGGGCCCCCCATCCCCCCCGCCCCCTCGGTGAGGTGCAGAGGCCGCCGGCGCGCCCGAGGCCGAGGCGGCCCCACAGTCGACCTGAGGAGGCCCGGGCTTGGAAGGGCGCCTCTCGGGCTTGGCGATGATCCTCCTCCTCCTCCTCCTCCCTGCCTCCTCCTCCTTCTCCTCCTCCTCCTCCCTCCTGTCTCCTCCTGCCCCGCCTCCTCTCTCCTCCTCCTCTCCTCCCTCCTTCCTCCTCCTCCCTCCTCCTCCTCCTCCTCCTCCTCCTCCTTCCTCTCCTCCTCCTACCTCCTCCTCCTCCTCCTCCTCCTCCCCTCCTCCTCCTCCCTCCTCCTCCTCCTCCTCCTCCTCCTCCCCCCCCTCCTCCTACAGGGGGATCGGCCGCTCCCGATCTTGGCGATGATTCTGGGTTTCAGCGGCAGCGTAACGGGCACTCTGGGTTTCTTGATAAGCGCGGGACCCCCCCGACGGGGGTCAACCTCGCCTCGTCTTGCCGCGCCGCGACGGGGTCGGAGCGCCTTCGGCGCGCGGCGGCTGCCCACGGCGGGGGTCGATGTCGGGTTGGTGACGGGTGACGCCCCCCCGACGCTTATTGAGAAACTCGGAGGATTCACTAACGTGTACTTCCTGGAACATTGCCGGAAGTTGCCTTTTCGGGCCTCTTTCTCTCATTGCAGCGTTGCCAGCAGCGGGGAGGATTGGGTTTGCCGGGCCACTGGCCAAAGTGCCCGCCCGTGGAGTCCCCGTGAGAGGGGCGCGGAGGGTTTCAAGCTGTCCGGGGCTCCGGCTCTGCAGCCTCGCCCCGCGTCGGGGGAGTGGCCTCCAGGATCAAGCCGGGGGATTGTTGATGAAAAATGAAAAAAAAATCCCGCCCAAATACCCCAAACAGGTCAAACAATATTCAAAACATTGTCCCCAGAGCATTTTTGGACTATGTTTTGATTCTTTTGGGGGTATTTTTTTATTTTTCGTCGAAAATCCTCCTGTAGGGGGGCAGGCCCGACTTAACTCCAGGATCCCATGTCGGGCCTCTTCCTGCGAAGCCAGACTGGCTCCCAGCTCGCCCAGCACCCTTTTGTTGCGCGGAGGTCCACCGAGAGGGTGTCAGACCTACACTGGCGGCCTCCAGGGAGTAGGCCCCCAAAGAACTTGCAACTTCGGCCATTGACAGAAAGCCCTCCCCTAACACGCCGACTGAGGACATCTGCAACCATTCGCTCGGCATCAGTGCCGGAGCAGTTCCCAGTCGCGCTCGCGGATCGACGCGAGTGCCGCCAGATACATTAGTGTTTTTTAGGGCGTCGATGAGACACTCCGCCTGGGTGCACTCGAGATGCGGTGCCGCGCGCATCCGTGGAGTACTCCGGATTCCATAACAAAGTGGGGGGGTCACATTCGGGGGGGGGTCTAATTTGAGCTGTCTTGGAGGGTTCGGGGGGGTCTGGGCAAAGGGCCGCCCTTTGATGGATAGTCTGGGGGGTCTAAAACTTCTCGTCTGGGAGGGTTGTGACCCCCTCCCTTTCATTACGAAATCTGGGGTAGCCCAGCAGCTCTCTCTCTCAAGACATCACATGCCTGGGTGCTTCACCGTTGGGCTCCACCGGCAGCGCGCAGCTTGCGTCGGCGCTCAGGCCACCGCCTGCGTCGAGTTGGGGGGCTTCTGTGGACAGGCACACTGTGGCGCTAACACGCGTTCTGCAGATCATCGGGTCCGCTGCCGCGCGGGCCTGCAGCCGGACAGGGGAGGGGAGGGGAGGGGAGGGGAGGGGAGGTCCGGGGGCAGGGGCGGTCACTTAGGGGAGGCGATACCGATACAGCCACCCTTCCCCTCCGTCATCACGGCTGGATTCGCCGCGAGGTCTTTGTCAGAATGCACCCCCGAAGAGGTCCAGGGAGTAGCGGTCTTTGTATCTTTTTGTTCGCCCAGGCATGGGAGAGAGAGGGGTCAGGTACGGCAGGGGATGGGGGGGTGAGGCTGGGAGCAAGGGGTCAGGTCAAGTCACGACTGCGCAAGAAGGCGTCAAGCCGACGGTTGTCGATGAACGAGAAGCGGAGTGGGTGCGTGCGCTTGCCCTTCTCCCACCGCCCGCGAGATCGATACCTTCCCCAGCCATTCCGACCCTGTGGCCAGGAAGGGGAAGTGAGGTGAGAGGCAGGGGAGAGGGCGGGGCCTGATTGAAAGGGGGGAGGGATGACTGGGAGGTGGTGAGGGAGCAGATGGGGGGGGAGCGTACCAGAGAGGGGGGGGAGCCGGGGGAGCGCGGGGAGGGGAGTGGAGGAGGTGGAAAGATGCATAGGGGCCGGTAGCGCCCTCGCTGCTTCTGCGGGGAGGCTGGAGACCGACAGGGGGGATGGGAGGAGAGGTCCGCCGGCCGCCTTCCCACAACGCCCGCCCCTCGCACCGCGCTTCCTGGCCAGTCGAAGCCTTCGTCTTCAGCGCAGGTCTTCCATCGGAAAGGAGAAGGAGTGAATCGGGGGTGGACAGAGCCCCCAACAGTGACACGCCGATCAGTGAATTGTCCGTTTTCGGTTCTCGAGAGGGCGCCGTGGCCGTTATTTTCCAGGCTTGCGCCCGCCAGGTTTGGGCCTCAGGTCGTTTTCACTAAACCACGTCTTACTAAAGGGGGGTCTGTCCATCGACGGCACGCCGCCGTTTGGAGCCCGTCGGCGTGCTGCTCCCGTGCTGTGTTGCCGGCCGGTCGGGTGCTTCTCCCGCGGCATATATGTGGCGCCCACGGGGTCCGCACGGCGGCGTGTCGTTCGCCCTCTCCCTCTCCCTCTCTCTCTCATTTTCCAGGAGGGGACGAAACACACGGACACAATGAATCGTCGATTCCCCAGAACATATGGGAACATTTGGGAAGGGGGGGGGAAGACGAACACCCAGAACATATAGGAAAACAGGTGGAATCCTTTTAATTTGTGTGTATTTAGTTGTGTGTCCCAGGGCCCCTTCAACATTCGGGCCCCTGCGGCCGAGGAGAGAGGTCTGGGTTCGGCACCTTCCTTCCCTTCCCGCCGCGCCTCTCCGCCCGCCCGCGGGACCGCCGGTCGAGAGCGTCGTGCGTTTGCTCGCGGGGTGCGGTGCGAGCCTGTTCGCACCCCTCGGAGCAGAGCAGGGACGGAGCTGTGCACGGGAGGGGGGGGGAGCAGGACGAGGATGAGGGTGGGAGGGACGAGGACGAGGACGGGGACGGAGATGTGCACGGGAGGGGGGGGGGAGCAGGACGAGGATGATCGGGCCGGGCGAAAGGGGGGGGATTGGGAAAGGGGGGGTTACGAAATCTGCTGCATGCAGCTGTATTCGGCCTCACCGAGGGGCCCATTCCTCGATACATGGCCGCCTCTGGCGCCGGGAGGCGCAGGGAAAATCAGCTGCGTGAGCTGATTCTCAAAGCCCCCCTTTGCTATCCCTTGCTATCCCCCCCTTTCGCCCGACCCGAGATGAGAGTGGAAAGGGGAGGATGAGGAAAGGGAGCGGCAGTGGAGGAACAGGAGACAGCGGACAGAGGATGCGTCGCCGTCTTGGTTCCACTTGCGGCCATGACTCGGCCGGGCCAGCGCTACAAATCGAAGCGCAAGTGCGGCGGGTGGTAATGGGTTTCAGCTGCGGGTCTCAGCAGCAGTTTGCACTCCCGCCGTTTGTTTCTAACGCCGTACCCCTGCTGATACGGAAAAGAACTAGTTCAGCCGTGTGAATCAGTCAGCCAATCACAGGCCGAGATGCGTCCATCGTAGCACTCTGCTTGGAGTCGCAGCTCCTTCGCAATGCTCTCAGCATTGCTCCCCCGTTCAAACGGCCGCCACCACCTCCTCTCGTACGGGAGGATTCTGGCTGTATTTCTTGCGATGTTTGTTGTGGGCTGAATTGCGCCATTTGCCTTTGTATGCAAAACGGTCGAAGACGCTTCCCCCGTGTCCCTGTTCTCCCCTCTACTGTGTAGCATTGACAAGTTCGCTCCGCATGTTCCTATCTGGTCAGTTCCATACCATCACTTGGACTTGTCGTTCCAATTACGGGCCAAAACGAAATTGTGTGTTCGCGAGCTGCACTGGGCTGACTGACTGGACTTCTCGCACCCCCCAGGTGTGTGTGTGTGTTCTTGTCCCAACCAGCCTGTGGTGTTGGGTCCTATTTTTGGAGAGACGGTCCCCGCGTTCACTCCTCCGGCCGCTGCCCCCTCGCTCCTCCTCTCATCATCGTCATCATCACCATCATCGTCATCATCACCACCATCATCGTCATCATCATCATCATCGTCGTCGTCGTCATCATCATCGTCATCATCATCATCATCATCATCATCATCATCATCATCATCATCGTCGTCGTCGTCATCATCATCATCGTCAGCATCATCATCAGCATCATCATCATCATCATCATCATCATCATCATCATCATCATCATCATCATCATTGTCATCATCATAATGATCATCATCATCATCATCGTCGTCGTCGTCGTCGTCGTCATCATCATCATCATCAAGGCCACTTGAAGCGCTCCGGGAGCGCTCTTTAGGAGCCTGCTGGGACCTGGCCGGGACCCTGCGAGAACCTTGCCGAGGTCTTTTTCGTCCGGAGACCCCCAGGTGCGGCCCCGCGCGCGCGAATCGGAAGTATTGTTCACCAGTTGCCGGAGATCTCAGCACGCCCTTGGCCCGTTGGGCCGGCGAATTCTCGGCCGCCGAGTGCGGAAACTATGGAGCAGCCAGTACAGTCGACCCGAATAGGAAGGATGGGCAACCTTCCCAAGGGTACCTTTTGCATCCTTTCCCCTTCGGCCCATCCTTAATCAGCGACTGTCGCTGGGCAGCCTCGTTCGAAAAACGCCGACATGGCCCTCCAAGGCCCTTGCATCCTTACCGCGCATCCTTATTGTACGGGTTGATTGTAGTTGGCCGCCTGCATTCGCGGCCGCCGAGTGCGCAACCAATGGCACGACCAAAAGAAGGCCGTTTCGTTCTCGACCCCCCAAGTGCGCAACCTGGGGCGCAGCCAATGCCAGGCCCTTGTCAATGGCACGCCTAGTGCACAACCTACGACGCAACCACTAGACCACTAGCAGACAGTTCTGGTTTCAGCTGCCCAGTGCGCAACCTATGACGCAGCCGATGGCAGGCCGCCTCCGTTTGCGGCCGCCGAGTGCGCAACCAACGGCGCGCCCCCAAGAAGGCCCCTCTGTCCTCAACCCCCAAGTGCGCAACCTATGGCACAACCAACGGCAGGCCGTTTTATCACCGGTCGTCGAGTGCACAATCAATGGCGCAACCAATGGCAGCCAGCGTTAGTATCGGCGCCGAGTGCGCATTCTACGGCGCAGTCACTTTCGACCGCCAAGTGCACAGACACTGGTGTAACCGATGCGTTGAGCACGGCGCAGCCCGAGGATGACTCAACCCGTTGCCGAAGCCCGTGGACGGCGCAGCCCACGGCAGGCGCAGGCCGTGGATGGCGCAGCCCATTGCGTAACACATGGATGACGCAACGGGTGGCGCAATCCATGGATCGCGCAACCATTGGCACGCCACCTCCTCCTCCTCCTCCTCCTCCTCCTCCTCCTCCTCCTCCTCCTCCTCCTCCTCCTCCTCCTCCCCCGCCTCCTCCTCCTCCTCCTCCTCCTCCCGCCGCATGGGTAGAGCACAACCCGGGCAGCAGGTCCTACAAGGCTGTGCCGGATGCATGCTCGCCTTTTTGGGCTGTCTTGTGATTGACATGGTTTGGCTCTGTCTGGCAAGTCCTGGGCGGAGTTTCGTGGAGCGGTCGCGCGGGAGTTGTCATTCGCCAGGTGCTCGGCTCGTGCGCCCGGGGAACACTGAGGGCCAGGTAGAACAGTCGTCTTCAGGCGCTCCCCGTACCCAGACACGCGATGTATTGATCTGTTCCACACGGAGCCAGGGAATTTCCGTCACCTTCCCCAGGGCCAGCTTTTCTTCCCGGGTGCTTTTTGGGGACAGCTGCCGGGGCCCCGCGAGGGCCCCGGGAGGCCGAGAACGGCCAATAGCATCCCGTCGTGATTGTTTCACTTCGCGAGCATGTCAGGGTATGGGCCAGCATGCCCGGCATAATCAGTACTGGAGGAGG